CATGTAAGTAGACTTAAACTTGACAACACAAAATATTAAAAACTTTTCGCGTGTAAACTTTTTTCAATTTATTCACTTTACACACCGAGATAACTCCCACTCTTATTATAAACAAAGAACTTCTAATTCAGTACATATTATTTACAATACAAAATTTCTTTTAATGAACCTGTCGCTCCTGTAGTGCCGAGAGAATACAAAAAAACAAAACAAAAAGGTAATAATTCAGTCATTCAAAGACAAACTTAATGTAATCATGTCACGTACTTTCGTTTTTAATTTCCTTTATGAGTAAATTTATAAAAATGATAGCGCATGTACGTTCAAATTTCTGTCACATTTACACAATTCTCACTTATTTATTAAATTACATAACTTGTTGTCGATTTTCAACCCATAAATTAAAAGGTTACGTCATTAACTAATATTATACGTGAGAAAAATACTATTTGACACTTGATATTGAGATAGTATCAGACATTAAGAAGGATAGGATGGGATAGTTTTTATATAGGAACTTTCCCTAAAGGGAGCAGTTTATATAGAGAATCCCAAATAATCCCTTATTTCTTAAGTTAATTCAGTTAATACATTTACTAATAGTAGAAGCAAAAATAGTCTGTATCAAGTAATAATTTCATACAGTCGAAGTAGCCGGCAAAAGCCACTAATGACATGTACACGTATTTTTTATATTTTCTGATATTAAGATAGAAAGCGACTTTATATACTATATGATATGAAATGAAGACGTTTCTCAATTTTGACATCTCTGTATGCAATAAAACAGGGAGGAAAAAATCTGCCCTTGCTGAGTTTTAACCGGTTCTTCTCGGTACAAGATCTATCGCCGTAGACTTACGATCCGATGGCATAGAGTTTTGACTTTCACAAGTGCTTGTAATAGCCTATCAGCCAATACTGAATAAATGATATAGATTTTATTTGATATATCTTGGGGATTGATAAAGCGAATAAATTTAGGGGAATTAGAATAAAATAAAGAAAACATCGTTTAATAATTAAAAATATATTAATTGACATGACTTACGACGTTTATGATCACAGAAATTACATTTTCAACAATAGGACGAATCATAATCCCTTTATATTTTAAATAACAATTACACGACAATTCTTATAATAAGTTTCACTGGTGGTCCTTTTATTACTTCGTCCAAATATGTGCAGGAAAGTTTTATTTTTCTCTTTAATTTTACTTTTTTTTAATTAGATTGTTTCATATTTTAAAAAAAAGGTTCATTGTTTTCTTATCACTTTTTAATTTAGACAAACAAACGAAGAGACGAAAGACGTCTTTATGAATAATAAGAATTAAAACACAATTGCTTTTCAGTGGAGCAGCAGTCCAGGGAAGGATTTTATATTTTAGCAACCCCATATCCCAACTTCTATTCCGTTATGTGTCCCGACTTACTACGCAAAAATACTGCTTTATATTTATCTTAAGTGTCCGACCGAAGGTCTATTTTTGGCCGAAGCCGAAGCCGAAGCCGATTAATCGGCAATCGCCACAACCTTCGGCAAAAGCCGAAGCCGAAGCCGATGCTTTATAATTTCTCAGTAATTAATTTTGTTCAATATTGTCAACAAGCTACAATTAATATTAAAATTATTTCAAAACTTCAATATTGAAGGTTATTATATTGACTGTCTCATATAGAAGTCCATTTAGAAATACAGATTTGACAGTGAAGGCGCTTGTGCACTACACTGAATTTTCATGTCCGGTGGTCCGATTTTTTCCGGCCTGATATGTCAGGCCATATGTATGTAATGCTAGCCTGTGCACTGTCAGAAATATTTTTCCTGTCTTCTACGTCTTCGCACGTACAGTAATAGAGCAAGCAATTACCAACGTTTCAAAAATCTCATCGTGCCTATTGTAAGTGACGTGTAGCTTCACAGAGAGCTAACCGAAAATGTGCCGTTCCGATCCGGAAAAAAACGGACAAGTGCACAAGCTACTCATCCGAGTTTTTCATGTCATTCGGGACCGGAAAAAGTCGGCCCGCCGGTCCTGAAAATTCATTGTAGTACACAAGTGCCCTGACTCCCCGTGGCCTCTGCCAACACGACCGGTCCATCGCTCTCTCACTCAGTCTTTAGAAACAGTTCGTTCAATCTCGACGGTAGCTTTTGGCCTTTTTTCGCCGAAGGTGTCCGATGCCGAAGCCGAAGCCGAAGCCTTGGTCGGACACTATTTATTTTATAGATTAATAAGTACGATTTGGTGAACATCACAGATATTTCTCAAAGTATGCAATTTGGTATACAAAAAACTTAAACGAAAATGGCATCACAAAAATTTGTTTTTCACGACCGATAAATCGAACACGAGCTTTATTGGAAAGGTCAGCCTTACAGTAGCCAAATATATAGCAGGCATAAATAAACCTTTAGGGATGATGACCATTTTTTTTGTCTGTCCATCAGATGTATTATTGGTTGTAATATTAAGTTATTTAATATTCAAATACGTATTTTATATTTTTTGCGTTAAAAAAATTACGACGATACATTGCGTTGATATATCACATGACGGCACGTCTTTGTTCATTTTCTACATAGTTATGACATAGCGAGCCCCCACTCCTTACCTTTAATGACTATTGTCTAAGCCATTTCTTGTTAAAATTGAAGCAAAAAAGATACACATCTAATGTTTTACTATTATCTAACCGACGGACTATATAGATTTTTTTTTTTAATCGGTCATAATCCCAATTTAAATGAACCTCTATTCGACAACGAGTTCCAGGCTGTTTTTATAATAGCCCTTCCAACTGCTCATTTGCGGTTGGAAAACAGTAAATATATGTATTTGTCTCAACTTACTCTTTACAATACTAAATGTCACATTTTTTGAGGTAACACCCTTAATTTACATACATTATGAACTACTATTACTATACTCGTAATACCGGATTTGTTATCTTACATTAATTGGCATTTTAATGGTCAATACATCAATAACAATGTGAGAAATACTGAGACTTAAGACTATATATGGGTCTTTAAACATTGCCCATTTTATTATTTAAAATTATTTTCTAGCTAAACGAACGTGGTCAAAAATATGCAAGAGCTTTCTAAAGCATAATATTTTAGTATGTTTAAGTACTCAGTGCGGAGGTCAAGCGCTGAAACATCAGTACTTCAACATACTGAAATATCAACTTTTAGAAAGATCTTGCATATTTTTGCCACGATCTCCTAGACTGTGCGTTTGGCGTCTGAAATAGTATATATTCTCTATTCTTAATGTAATACTTTTAAGTAATCATACGTCATAAAATTATAATTAAATAATCGAGAACAGACAAATACTTTCTTATTTTCATAAGCTGAATACTTATCATTTTATATGCTTCTATTAATTTCTATTTATGTGCAACTTATTAAATTAAACCGAGACGCACATACCACGAATAAATTGATCATGTGTTATCAAAGTGAACCAGGTTTTTGAATTGAGAATTTAATGTTAAGAACGTCTCAAACTGTACCGTTTTTGACTTTAGTATTCTTAATGATCATATCAGTTTTTACGGATTATTGACGAAAAAAACTAAGTTATTGAGAATCATTAGTTGAGATTTTGTACCTTTCTCAATTCAGAAACCGGCCGAAGTCGTTTTACGTTAACACGTTCACTAGTGAGCACGTTGAGAATTTGTATGAAGCTTTGTAGTTCTTGATACCGCTAGGGGCGCTGTACCGGATTCCATACTAAAAGCTTAATGCGCTTGAACGTAAAAAAAAACCTACACAGCTCGTTAAGTGGTTAAGTAGTTAAGCGGTAGTTATTATAATAGCCCCCTCCAGCATGTCGAGAAATTTTATGAAAACTAATAAATATAAATTAGAATATCAAAGAAACGAAAACCGTAAAATGTAAAAGCCACCCATACCTATCTTGTGGCGGTCGGTTATGTTTCTCTGCCTTCCCTATAGAATCCCACGTAAAGTAGAGATAGTCAATAAAAAAAATGTAATGTTAAGTACCTACTTATAGAGTAACACCTATATAAGTCATGACTATCGCAGAGTTAAAAAGTATATTACATTATATCTAATCATAGAAAAATACTTGAAAAAAATTGGACTGCCCGGGTACCATATAATACTAAATAAATGCATCTGAATTACAGGCTTTCTTATTCATATAATTTGTTTATTATATTTTTAATTACTTCGAGCGATCTCAAACAATTTGTAATTCTTTAGTTTCTATATGAGCTACTCTACAAGGCACAACACTTGCACACGGCAATAAACAGTTTCAATAATATTTAAAATGATAATGTATATTGTTATATGAATTTAACGGTTACCATGACTGAACTTAGATGTCTTAAAACCGCAAGCACAACATAAACAGAAGCTGCATTTACGACCATGGTCAAGGGTCATCTAGTCATCAACAATGAGGAATATTAAAAAGAAATATTGTAAATTGTGTAGAACATTATCGCCACCTAGTGACTAAAATGTTATCATGGGCAGACTAAACAGCTATAGGCGAACCGCCCCCTCTGCCCCCTCTTAGTCCCCATCTAAATGTTATACACAATTTATAATAAAACTAGCTTTCGCCAGCGGCTTCGCCCGCGTGGACCCTAGGGAAATGTTTAGTGGGATAAAAAGTATCCTATTATCTAAGTCAGCTAACACCCTATCTGTATACCAAATTACATCAAAATCCGTTCAGTAGTTTCGGCGTGATTGACGTACAAACATCCAAACATCTAAACATCCAAACAAAGAAACTTTCACATTTATAATATTAATAGGATAAAAAGATAGCTTTCATGAGCCTTAACAAGTTCTGTGGGAGCTCTTTTTTCAAGTAATTATCTAAAATTATTTTTGAATGTGAAATCCACATATTTAAGTACTTAAAGTACTACGGGTTATAATTTACACAGTTAAATGCTAATGTTGAATGTCTTTTCTTACGTAATATAATAAAAGTGTTAAGACCAATATAAACTAAATCCTAATTTTTTTATGTGGACATATGTTTTGAAAACGTAATCCCATATTTGACTGCTGATACCAAAAGCTGTAACAAAGAAAAAAAATACTTAACATAATATTTTAAAACGATACGAAGAACGTTAACATAATATTTTATTTAAACTAGCTGTTTTTAGTCTATATTTTACAGCTTTTATCAACCGCTTATGATGTAACTTCCCGTAATGGAATTATTAAAATCGATCCAGTAGTTTCAGAGTCTATTCAATGCAATCAAACAAACAATAAAATCTTCCCTCTTTCTAATATTAATAAAGACAAAAAAAGCAAATTAAGACATTTCTTTTCATAATTTTTTGATGTGATATATGTAAAAAGCACATTACGGTATTTATAACTTTTTAATTCTACTAAACAAGGCTTATTAGATTATTTTTAAGATTAGCTGTCACATATTCCAATATATATTCTAAAAAAATAAAAACAAAGAAACCTTTATAAGGTCTATGTTTATTGAAGTATTTTTTCCCTTTTTAATAAATCAGTAAATTTTACGAAATACCTTTGTCATGATTGACGAAGTGATGATTGGAGTGATACCTCTTCATGGTGTAAAGGTATGTACCATCCCTGGGGGAGCCGTGGTGAACGTAATAGTGTATCATGTCGTACGCGAGGTACCCTGTGAACAATACAAGTTAATTACGTAAAGTTCTATATATTTTTCCTACCTCAATGATATTAGAATAAAGATAGAAACGCAGTGTTTTATGTCTCGATACAACACAAAACGACACAATATAAACCCCAAGGCATGGCATATATTGAAAGTCCTTCGAAGAGACCTTAGGACAAGGGTGCAAAGTGCTTTTTCCAGTGCTTCGCTGGATGCAGCGTTGTATGATCTACCTCTAAAGTACCTAAATGAACTTGATTTTGAAAAGATATAATAAAATTCAGGGGTTGCTACTTTGCTTGCAAGACTCAGTTTGACCCTCGTAGGTGATTATGTAAGGTGCTTTGCTACTATAGTTTTAAAAAACTCTTTTAATAGCGAAAGGAAATCAATATCTACCGAAGGCTACAACTGCAATTATTATGAATAATATAGTGCGAAAAACTTAAGTACATCGATACTTGGAACATGGATATTCTGCAGTACCTATTATTTATTTGACAAGCTATTATTAAAAAAAAATCTTATAACTTTTAATATAAAATTGGTTTAGGTGCAAGGGTCCAACCCTGTGTACGAAAACATCATGAGTTTAGTCCGACCTGGTTTTGTGGACAAAAAGCTGGAGAAGACTTCAAAAACGCAATGGTTAGCTCGTTCGGTCGTATTGTAGAACCGATCATAACTTAAGTGACCAAAAATTTATTATCTCGTGTTCCTTCGTCCAGTCCAATCGTAAACACCCAGCAATTCGCACTGGACACGCATGGTGGATCATAGTCCATTCTCTCTATGCAATTTTATTTGATGCCATCCATAGGGAAGGCGTATGCCTCAGCAACGGGGGCATTAATAGGCTGAAGATGGTGGTGATGAAACAAAAGCTATAACTTAATAAATCCACGATTAGATTTCCTAAAAATCCACATTACAAATAGTCGACTGTACTAACGATGTACCTACAATTAAATTAAGAATCATTATCGCATGCACTGTTCAATGCAGACTGATCACAAAGGGAATTGTTCAATTTTGGCTTTTGGTGGACAAGCTAATTAGTAAAAACTATGTGAACAGTAAAATATTATTAAAACTGAAAAAAATATTTTTTATACTCTCGTCATGGGAAACTAAACATTAAAAATATTATTTTAAAAAGTATTTTTTGGATTCGGATGTGTTTTGTTAACATGTTTCACTGTGTTTCCATATCAATAAATGTTATTGAAGTACTATTACTAATAGTATCGATAAATCGATAAGGTTTAACTTTAATAGAAATGAAAGTATATATGTATTAATGCACATATAGTAAGTGATCTTTTGTAAAATCATGTATTATATATATTAAAAATATAACAAATAATCCTTTTCGGTTAGATATAAGTTAATTTACACTAACAATCGATTACTTTCTAATCGATTAATGATTTTTATATGGCAGCACCGTTTCACTTTGTCAACAAATACGTTTGAGTGATAATTCTTATTAAAATGATTGTTTATATAAAATAATTCCTTAAATAACGTATTAATATCGTTTAACGTGTTGTTTTTGGTAAATCCATGTAGAAAGATAGAATTGGTAATTCAAAATTGTTTGGTTTAATGAATGTATTTAAATCGTGTAATGGTCTCCTACGTGAATATCGTCGGCGGCTTTGTATAAATTGTGAAAGATCTATATTAAGTACTAGATCACATCTACTGCAAACAATATCCGACAGAGAAACACACATTAGAAATGAAATTATTGATTGGATATCCCCACGACAGGTAGGATTATAGTTATTTTTATTTATTATGATTACTATAATTAAACTTCCTTTATGACATGTAAAACATTAATATATCGCTACCATATCGTTTAAGTAACATTTTGTTGACAAATAATTTAATTATATATTATACTCTTTTAGGTGCATGGATCTGATCGCATCTGTCATCCATGTTGGCAGCGAGCAGATAGAGACAGTTCCTTCTAATATTCCAGAACCTATACAGAACATTACCTTACCGGATTTTAAAAGAGCATCTGATTCACAAGCATTATGTTTTGTTCCGGGTTGAGACTCACCACAGCAACTGACAGTTCCCAGATGGCTTCAGGTAAAATTGTTTGTTGATTTTAACTTTTATGTACCAAAAACCAGTAGACTGTGTAATTCTCATTTATATTATAATAATTGGGCTGAATGGTTGTCTATCATGCAAACTATTCATACATTTACTACAGAACTTATACAAGATTTTGCATCATTTGTAAAAAAGAAATCTTACAATGGATTTTAACAATATTGAAGGAATGACTGAAGACATTGTGCACTTTTGAAGGTCTGTCTAAACAGGAGTTCCTTCAGTTAAAATTAAATTGATTTAAAAAATTCTTTTGCTTTGGGAAGCTACATCTTTCATCAGGATGATATACTATTAATACTATTAACTAGTTGTTCAATATTTAATGTTAATTTATTATTAAGTAGTTATGTGCAAATGTACTGAATAGGTGTTTTAAAATAGTCCTTTCTGTTAATAGGCGCAGACGTAAATGTGAGTCTACAGCCGCTCCAAGCCGAAGAGTTGTGCTCGAGGGTGAGCACAAATCAGGAGAATAGTCTTGTTTGAGGGAGAGCACACGTCAGGAGAGGCCGTGGAAGATTCAAAGATTAGGACGTCATGTGACCAACTTATATAAATGTAGCTGCTTTTTTGACTGCCCAAATGCCAGCCTCCAGCTGAAGAGAAACTGTATGAGCAGTGTAATATATTTATTAAGTGATTATGTAAAGTCTATTCTTATAAATATGTGTATTTAGAAGTACTGTCTTTTGCTTGTAGAATTGTATTGTCAAATTAAAGGTAAATATGTGTAAATCTACAATTTCTTTATTTAGACATCTCTGTTTCTTATTTCTAACATAAATAAATTAATATGATGATAAGGTAATTAAAGTATTTTACAAAAAAATAACTTTTTCGTTACATCGTTAATGGAATACTACACATGCTTATATATATACAATTTTAAACTTTCCCGTGAAAATATTACAACAGTTAACTTCCTTAAGATATGAAATATTAAAAAATAATGTTTTTTATAACTGTAGATAATGTCCACTCAAAGCCAAAGTGCCCATACAAACTGAACAATTCCCTTTCTTTGCGTAGCTAAAAATTTATTTAAAAAGTTTTGCCGTTTTGGCGGTCTTCTCGAACTTCTTGAATTTGAGACGCGTGTGGGCACAAATATTAAATAGGTACTTAAATTGTTCCTAAGTAGGCTTTACGGCTAAATATTACTTAATTATAAATAGACAAATTAATGTCACAAATGTGTGTATAAATCTAATTTCTCTTATGTTGAAAAGTGCAAAAGTTTTCTCTTATGTTTTTATTTAATAACTACTACAGTGAACCGAAGAAAAGAAACGACCTATGGATATTTAATATCGAGCGTCGCACACAACATGTACTATTCTTTGAATTGTGAGAATGAATCATACTTCAATTAGTAGGTATTCCAACAAGCAACCCAGTGATTTTCGAATATCAGCTACTTGCTTATTAGCCTTATTGTACTAATTTTTATAGGGCATGTCTATGCAATACGATTACACTTTTAGCTATTACGATGTCCTCGCAGTGGCGCGTATTTTTTACATTTTACAACTTAATTAATAATGCCAAAGACAAAAATCAAAAGCTTGTATCTTTTATTTCACTGATTAAGTAATTTAAGTTTTTAGAAATCTTAAACTTCTATAATTGCTTAGATGGATTGTACCAAACAATAACTTCCAAATAAGCTGTAATTAATTAAATAATTAAAAAACTTCACATTCTAGGTGTTTTGTCTCAATTCAAAACGTGGATTTATAAAAAAGATCCATGGAAAAAAATACAAAGCTAACCCTTTATTCGCCATTTTATTCCATTTCTTTTCGTAATTCTACTTTTTTATAAACTAAATTGATAGTCACTTTTTATAGGGACTTTATACAATAGATTGTTAGGGGGGCTATGTTTTTGGAATATTTTAGTTGATTCGTGAAGACAAAAGTCTGAGAAACCCTAGTCTATATTAATTAAAATTATTCTATATCTACCTGTATAAATGAAATTTGTCAACATAATGTATGATGGATATAATTAAATTTAATAAATTTCTTATTATCACCCTTTATTATATCTGCTGACTGACTAATTGAGTAATAGACACTTAATACAGTGAAAAAAAATTCAATCATAGGAATTGATAAGATTATTTATCTCCTACCTTGCCTCCCCTGTATACACGCGAAATCTAATCGATAAAATGTGGTATGCTGTTCGATGTGTAATCATTTTCGATAAGGTCTTACAGAAATATATCACAGAAGTTTATTTTATATTAGAACTAGCTTTTGCCTGCGACGATTTCCGTGTGGTAATAAGAGCACAGCTTTTAAAATTGAAATTAAGAGTTTAAATTGTTAATTTAATGTCATAATGACCACGTCGTATCGAACTAGGTAAAAGATCAATCCAATTAGGCAGCTAGTCAATATCAAAATATCGGCAATATTCTAATAAAATTAATATAATGTTCAACTTCGAAGATACTACAACAAAATGGTATATTTATTTAATGTACAGCAACGTCTAATGTGTTCCAGCACTTTATCTCTGAAAACTTTAAAGCTATTTATCCTATTTGAAATACAGATGGAAAGAAAAACACAAATCTAAAATTACGGCGTATTGACGGACAAACATCCAAACAAAGAAACTTTGACATTCATAATATTAATAGGATAAGTAAATTTGTATGCCTATATATATAATATTGTATGCCTTTTAGGCAGATCACGGTGTAACAATTCAGTCCTTGTATCCGATATATTTATATAACCTGTGATCAACAATAAAGATTGATTTGATTTAAATAAAAAAAAATATGGTCAATGCAAAAAGCACTTCTAAGTAATTTAAAAGTTTGAATGGCAAAATTCCTAAGCTTTTTAATA